CGTTGCTCTATGGACTCATTAAGCAGGGCCTACAGTGCGAGACATGTTACATGAACGTCCACAAGCGGTGCCAAAAGAATGTGGCCAACACGTGCGGCATCAATACCAAGCAAATGGCCGAGATACTCAGCTCACTGGGCATTTCACCGGACAAGCAGGGCCAGCAGCCGCGCCGCTCCAAATACTTGAGTCAACCGGGTGGCGAAGACAATTATGGCGCTTCGCTAGGCTGCGAGGGGGGCGATAATATGCCAGGCGCCTCATTTCGCAGTGGCACCATGTCAGCCGAAGGCTTGGCCACCTCAACGACTACGCTGACTAGCGGCTACAACAGCAGCAGCTGCATGAGCTTAGCTGTGGGCGGAGGAGATTCACGGCCAGGCAAGTGCTCGCTGCTGGACTTTAACTTTATCAAGGTGCTGGGCAAGGGCTCCTTTGGCAAGGTGATGCTGGCCGAGAAGAAGGGCACCGATGAGATCTATGCTATTAAGGTGTTGAAGAAGGATGCCATTATACAGGATGACGATGTTGACTGCACAATGACCGAAAAACGCATCCTGGCTCTAGCCGCCAATCATCCGTTCCTCACGGCGCTGCATTCGTGTTTTCAGACTCCGGACCGTTTGTTCTTTGTCATGGAATACGTAAACGGTGGCGATCTGATGTTTCAAATACAGAAGGCGCGTCGCTTTGAGGCCGCCCGTGCCGCTTTCTATGCCGCCGAGGTGACGCTTGCCCTGCAATTTTTACACACTCACGGCGTTATCTATCGCGATCTGAAGCTGGACAACATTCTGCTTGACCAGGAGGGGCACTGTAAACTAGCTGACTTTGGCATGTGTAAGGAGGGCATAATGAACGGCATGCTGACAACGACCTTCTGTGGCACACCCGACTACATAGCCCCCGAAATTCTCAAGGAACAGGAGTACGGCGCATCCGTTGACTGGTGGGCGTTGGGCGTACTCATGTACGAAATGATGGCTGGTCAGCCGCCGTTTGAGGCTGATAATGAAGATGAGCTTTTTGACTCCATTATGCATGACGATGTGCTCTACCCTGTATGGTTGTCTCGCGAAGCCGTGTCCATATTAAAAGGTTAACTTCGAGCTTTCATATAATCAAATCTGTTAATATATAACCAATTATAATTCTAGGTTTTCTCACCAAGAATCCAGAACAGCGTTTAGGCTGCACAGGCGATGAGAATGAAATCCGCAAACATGCATTCTTCAATAAACTCGACTGGAAGGAACTGGAGAAGCGAAACATAAAGCCACCATTCCGACCTAAAATGGTACATATTAGGTAAAATTTACTGAAAATCTTATTCATCTTGTTTGTTTTTATATATAGAAAAACCCACGTGATGCCAACAATTTCGATGCCGAATTCACCAAAGAGGAGCCGGTGCTAACACCAATTGGTAATGATGTCATACGTTGCATCAATCAGGATGAGTTCGCCGGCTTCTCATTTGTCAATCCCAAGTTCGGGCCAGAGCGCAAGGTGTTTTAAAACGGCGACCGTTGGATTATTGGATTGGATATGCGCTTAGTTTTGGCGGGAAATAAACCAGCAAACTGGATCAGTCGAAAGAAAAAGCACAGGGCAATTCGTTGCCAGGTTTTTAATTAGATGTAGCCCAATGCTAATCTCTTAGCCTATTCCTAGCCCTAGCTTATCTCCCTAGCACATGAACCTAAAATTTGCTTCCGTTGAACACTTTATGAACGCTTTATTGTTGTCTGTTTCCAGTTGTCGTCTTTTTTATAAGTTGTCTGTTTATTTGTTTTAAGTTGTCTGTTGGAAATTACAAAAGCGTAGCTCTATAAAGGAATAACGACTAGCAAATGCAAAAAGAAAAGCTGAGAATCGCAAGTTATATATAGATAGAAATGATAATATCTACTGTAACTATTACACATATGCGTTGGGGATCCTACAGTCGTCAACTACGACCAGTGCCAATAAACAACTAACTCTAAATTGTATACAAACACGAACACACACACACACACACACACAACGCACACAGAGACACGCAGGCAAAGTATTGTAAAGATTTTTTTATGTTATTTATCGCACTGTCCATCTTTTTCAAATCATTTGCTATTGCTCGTGTTAATGCTCAAATCCTCTCAAAGCAAGGTGCTATTTTTGCAGCTTATCAAATCTTATCCTCCCCTCCACCAAAAAGAAAAGAACTATTGCCAAAAATATGCCCTGATCTAGTCAATGTTGCAAATGCAGCGCCATGCTTTTTGTTATTAGTTTTTTATTTATTAATGTGCCGGAATCGCACCCAAATGCAGATAACTCGCAACAGCGAGGCACTTGCTCCTACGCGAATCTCAAGAGAATGTCACAACAGCCAATACAACAAGCCGTCTGTATACACAAGAAAATACGATAAAAACATTTAAAGAACTTTATGCGTATTCGAAATGTTGCACAATTTCCTTCTCAAGTATTAAAGCGATATTATTTTAAAATTAACTTATTGTTATACATATAAATATAATATTATAACATGAACAAATTAAAAGGAAAAACAATTAAGCCAAAATTAAACAAATACGTTAACACATACACCAAAACACACACACACACACACAAACAAACCGAGCTAAACAAATGCAGAAAATTAAACAATAAAACTAATTAAATGAAACTAAGCTTAGTCGTAAAATGAGAACAAACTTTAAAGTAAAACCAAAACATTTCTAAAGTCATATATATTTTATGGAACACAAACTACAAATACAAAACAAAATGTGTTTAGCCTATAAGTTGGAGAATATATGTATATGTATATATATATATGTATATATGAACATATATATGTATATACATGCATATATATAATTAACAATACATTACTACAAATAATTAAATACATATATATACATGTATATATGTGCATAGAATTAATCTAGTATATGGAAAATATACAGTTAAAACTGTAAAACAAAAACCAGGCAACAAAACAGAACAAATTATATTATATAAATATATATATATATATATCAAAAACAGAGATAATGTATGTCATGAATACCAATATTAAATAATAAATATATATGTGTTGATTTTAAAACCAAAGACTCGAAACACAAATACAATTTGCAAACATGAAAAAAATATACAAACCAAAAAAGCCAACAAATAGAAACCATTTTAACTGCAGCGGAACTTCGCAATGGGCTCAGTTATAAATATGGCATCGAAATTTGTTAGTTTCATTTGTGTAACGATCGATGTTGAATGTTTTTTGTAAACCTTGCTTTTATTTTTGTTGATTTGAGAGCAAGTAAAATATTGTATTTTGAAAGTGATCCTCACTATTCTTGTGCTGCATTTACAGTAGCGCAAATTGTTTGCCGAGTACTAAGTTTGATAAATTTGTATGCAACAAATGGCAGTATATAGCAAAGAATACTAATTATAAGCAACATTGTTAACTAAAAAAAAAAAAAACATAAAATATACATAAACAAGATAAAACTTTGTATGTAATGATAACAAACCCAAATGTGTAATAATAATATGAAATAGTAAGCAGAGCGCAAGCGCTAGTTACCCATTTAAATGTTAACCTCAAGTATTCTCAAAACAGCATTTTACTAAAACAAAATGAAGGCAGGACAAATGTTAAAGATATCTACAAAATTATATAGATGCAACTAAAGAGTTCGACATTGCAGTTGTAAAAACAACAGATTATCACAAATTTATATACGGATCCAGCCAGCCATACATACATTAGTTTATACCCATGAAACCGCCTCGCTCGAGGAACAAGCAAACAAAATACAAAAAAAAAAAAAGAAACAAAACTGTTGGTTGTTACCGAACTGAAGGGGCAGCAGCTGAAGCGCATTGTGAAAAAGAAACAAAAAACAAAACCAAATGTAACGCGTAACCTGAATAAAAAATATTAATAAAAATCGAAAAACAAAAACAAAAAAATAATCAAACAGAACAAGTTGAAAACGGGATGTTAGCTGTAAGCTCATTAAACCAATATTTGCAACAAATCGAGAACATGGCGCAGTGTAGAACAAAATTTAACTACAGTCTAAATTGTAACAACTTCTTCTGTCTGGCTAACTACTGCATTTCCAAGAAGAAGAACCACTGAGTGCATCCACTGCTCATCCACAGCAGAGCTATGTATGTTGACTGTAAAGATGTTCAACTTATTTGAAGCCTAGTTCTGCTTAAAAGGAAGCAAGCACAATTGACATGCCGTTGCCAGCTTTACAGATTTCAATATTTTAAATGCTTTGTGCCGAGCATACTGAAGCTATCTATAAAATTTAATAACCAATAAATTGTGACTAAAACAATTGGATTCGCTTGAACCATTTTGTAATATCGATTTAGTTACTATATGCATACCCACAGTCATATGCCACGCCTACAGATTCACCTTTCCATGTACCTTCTGCAATTTAGATTCTATACACAGACATCATTTAATAAAATAACAAAAAGCAAAATTGCGAATATTAAATCGTTAACTGATGTAAGACAAACAAAATATGAAAATAGAAACTACTCACTGAAAGAATATTAAACAAAATGAAAAAGTATTTAGAAAACCAAGCCCGACAACAATTTGTTGACAAAAAAAAGAAAAAGAAAAAAAAGGATAAATAATGTTTAAGAATATGTTTAAAGAAAAGAATAAATAAGCTACAAAAAGTCATAAAGCCAACAGTTGATATGTTGTAAAAAAATGTACTAAGGGAAGACAGTGAGCAACTAAATAAATGGTAACAAAATGTAAGATGATGTGAGGAAAGATAACCAAAGAATACTAAATTACTAAAATTGATTTTTAATGTTAAGTAAAGATTTAATGAGATCTAATTAATAAATAAAGATACAAATGTATTAACGGCTTTTAATTCAATTCTTGTTTTTAAAAATAACGTGTACATTAAAAGCGCGCCAACAGGCGATCTGGCAACGCCAGAAGTGCATGCAACTCTGAACCGCGCACATGGCACCCAAAAATCAGACGAAGCAAAACAAATTAATATTGCAGCAGCACTAACTGCATATATTCACCTTAAAAATGCCAAAAGTAAAAACAGAAAAGAAAAGCCGCATACACAATGAGGTGCAAAAGCAAGGTAAGTGTATATATGTATGTGTAAAATTCCCCTAACAAGTGCATAAGCAATTGCTTTACAGGCATTGTGTTCAACAAGGATTTTGGACAGCACATATTAAAGAATCCCTTGGTCATAACTACGATGCTGGAGAAGGCTGCACTGCGAGCCACCGATGTGGTGCTGGAAATCGGTCCCGGCACGGGCAACATGACTGTGCGCATGCTGGAGCGTGCCAAAAAGGTTATTGCCTGCGAAATTGACACACGTCTTGCCGCGGAGCTGCAGAAGCGTGTACAGGCGACACCTTTGCAGCCGAAACTACAGGTGCTAATTGGAGATTTTTTGAAGGCAGATCTGCCATTCTTCGATCTGTGCATAGCCAACGTACCCTACCAGATTAGTTCGCCATTAATCTTCAAATTGTTGCTTCATCGTCCTCTGTTTCGCTGCGCGGTACTGATGTTCCAGCGTGAGTTTGCACAACGTCTGGTGGCCAAGCCGGGCGACAAGCTCTACTGCCGTTTGAGCATCAATACACAGTTGTTGGCACGTGTAGACATGTTAATGAAGGTGGGAAAAAATAATTTCAAGCCGCCGCCCAAGGTGGAGTCGAGTGTGGTGCGTCTGGAGCCAAAGAATCCACCGCCGCCCGTTAATTTTACCGAATGGGATGGTCTAACCCGCATAGCATTTTTGCGCAAAAACAAAACGCTAGCGGCAACCTTCAAAGTGAACTCTGTGATTGAAATGCTGGACAAGAACTACAAATTGTATCGTTCGTTAAGGAATGAGGTGGGTTCACGCTTTAAATGATTAACTGAGTCTGTTTTAATTTTTGTTTTTATTAATTTTTAGCAAGTTGAGGAAAACTTTAACATGCAGGAGAAGGTCATGAGCATACTGGAGGAACAGGGTGTAAGCGGCTCACGTGCCCGATCTATGGACATTGATGAGTTTATGCGCCTCTTGTTGGCTTTCAATTCGGCTGGCATACATTTCAACTGATGCGAACTGCTTTTAAGCATGGTGTATAATCGTAATCATAACTTAAGACCTTGTTTAATAATTTTTAAAAACTTTGTATGTGTGCGTACATTAATAAGCTTACACATAAGATCTGATTGGGACCATACCAATGCATGGTATAGGCGATATGGCTCCAAACACGACAGCTTTGAGAGAGCCCGAGAGAACTATGAAAATACTTTAGCTCGCCAGCGTATCATTCAGCGAGTTGATCAATTGTTTCGACTCGTATTGATCAGTCGCTCTCGAATCTTGTTTAAATAAAGTTCAAAGTGTCGCAAAACAACTGATGCTGATATTAAAATGGCACTGATCAAAGCTGCTTGTGTGTTGCTTACTATTGTGGTGCAGGTGTCTTTTGCACTCGGCCAAGATCCGGATCCAGCACTAAAGCAGTGTAAATATTGTTATCTGATATCTTTGTATAAACTAAGCAACACTTGATATTTGCAGCTTGCACGCAATTGAAGCGCGACATCTTCGAGGAGCGAGTACCGTTCAGTTTCTTATTCGCAAATGCGCCTGTTCAATGGGAGACTATTGATTCCTGTCATGGCTCTCGGCCGCTAATAGTCGGCGGTACACCCGCCGAACCCAAGGAATTCCCACACATGGCTCGTTTGGGCAATCGCGACAATAGCAATAAAACCAAGTGGCTCTGCGGCGGCACTTTGATAAGCAAGCGCTTGGTGCTTACCGCAGCCCATTGTCTCTACTCGCCAAAGTGTGTAATGAAAACAAATTTATTGGCACTACTTTTGTTTTAATCTTTTCTTTTTCTTTTTTGCTGTAGTGGTGCAGTCAATGTAGTGCGCTTGGGTGAATTGGACTTTGCCAGCGATAAGGATGATGCACAGCCCGAGGACTTTGGTGTGCAAAAGATAATCGAGCATCCGGACTACAATTATACGATTCTCTATAATGATATCGCCCTGTTGCAACTAGATCGTGCTGTCAGTTTTAACGTTTACAAGCATCCTGCTTGCCTGCCCTTCCATGATGGCCAAGGCAGCGAGAATTTCATTGCCATTGGTTGGGGCCAACAGAGATTTGCCGCCAGCAAAGAGTCCACAAAGCTGCTTAAAGTGCAGCTTAAGAACTTTGGCAACGAATGCCTCACAACCACCAATTTAATGGAGCTGCCCAATGGCTACAATGTGAGCACAATGCTCTGCATTGGTTCCCCAGAGAACAGGGACACCTGCAATGGCGACTCCGGCGGTCCGGTCTTGAACTACCATGATGAGTATCCGTGCATGTACCATGTCATGGGCGTCACTTCAGTAGGCATTGGCTGCGACACAGGCAATGTGCCCAGTATCTATACGCGCGTGCATTCTTACTTGGATTGGATCAAGCAGGAGATTGCAAACAGCAACTGAATATTTGTATTTAATAAACTCTAACAGTGCAGCACGGCATTATTATTTTTAAGAATTATTTTGCAATTATTGGCTTAGCAAGAAATTGGCGCTTTGCATATTCTATTCATATACTGTGGGAAATCCCACTGCCTGTACGATCGAAATTATGAAAACAAATGAATATAAACAACCAATCGCATGCCCATATACATATGTATATACAAGATCTTATCATCTAACGAGAGTGCGCTTTGTATATTTACATTTTCTGAAATCAAAATGCTCAAATCAGAAAAATCTCTCCATGTTCTCTATGCAGTTGGGCGTGCACCCAGTTTGGAGTCGGGTGTAATTAGCGGCTGCGCTTTAAACATGCAAATCAAGAACTATTGGAAAAGCGCTTTTCAATGGAAAGCGTTTGGGCTGAGGTTGCTGATTTTCAACTTGACCAAGCGTTTGATATTTGCCCAAGATTCGGATATAGTCAGCTGTAAGCACGCCCACATATATATTCTGGCTAATGTCTCTCTCTCTCACTCTCTCTCTCTCACTCTCTTTGTCTCTCTAACAGCTTGCACCCGGTACAAGAAGAGCGTCTTTGATCTGCAGGATGGCTACAGTTTTCTGTTGCATGACGCACCCATCATTAATAAGAGCTTGGACACGTGCCACAGTTACACGCCGCTGATATCCGGTGGCCAGATAGCGGAACCAAAGGAATTCCCGCATATGGCGCGCTTGGGTAATCGCAACGGCGACAATAAAACTAGCTGGTTCTGTGGAGGCACCTTGATAAGCAATCGCCTGGTGCTCACTGCAGCTCACTGCCTCTACTCGCCAAGGTAATGGGTAATGGGGGACTCCTCAAATCCTTGGCTAACTCTAAGTGACTCCAATTGCAGCGGTGCTGTCAATGTAGTGCGCCTGGGAGAGCTGGACTTTGACAGCGACAAGGATGATGCACAGCCCGAAGACTTTGGTGTGCGCAACACGACGGAGCATCCGAGCTACAAGTACCCAATAATGTATAATGATATAGCGCTCATTGAATTGGATCGTGGTGTCCGTTTCAGCGTATATAAGCATCCTGCCTGCCTGCCATTCAATGATGGCAATCGCTATGACAGCTTCGTTGCCACCGGCTGGGGTCAGACCACATTTGCCGGCACGGATTCCAGCAAATTGAGAAAGGCAAAGCTCGAAGGATTTCATTTGAAATGTCCAGAGATTGACGATATTGTTAACCTGCCCAATGGTTTTAATGCGAGCACACAGATGTGCATTGGCTCCACTGACACCAACGATACCTGCAGCGGTGACTCTGGCGGTCCTGTGTTGATCTATCATGAGGAGTATCCGTGCATGCATCATGTCATGGGCATCACTTCAACAGGATTTGGCTGCGGCACGCCCAACCTGCCGAGTCTATATACGCGTGTGCATGCCTACTTGGATTGGATTAAGCAGACGATTGCAAATATATCTTGAGATTCGTGGAAACAAGATATAGCATTGGCTTAACCGGGATTTACAACATTTTAATTGACAATTCAATTGAATCGATACTGGGAATAATTAAATTTGACCCTTCAGTGGGTCAACACGGCGTATGCGCAACAAATCGATCTAGCAATTGTTTTCTATAAAAGGCATCTGACGAAGACATGCCAATCAGCTGATTACTGATCACTGGTCAGCCCTATCCCACAGCTCCAGAAGTGTGTGTGTGTGTGTGTGTGTGTGCGGGTGTTAGGCAACTATAAACCTGTCCAGAGAGCGCGGTTTTAGTCTGCTGCCAAGTTCGAGGCGTTTGTTATCGGCAAACCGGTTGACAACGTGCCAATTGTGTGTTTGATAAACAAATTAAAATTGAAAATGTGTATATATGTGCTGCTTCTTGTACTGGGTCTGCAGCCATTCCATCAGATCTTGGCGCAACACAACCAAATTGTCAGCTGTAAGTAGCCCATACGATCATCATGTTGCGATGTTTGTTCAAGCTGCTCTCGCATCGACAGCCTGCACCAGCTTGAAGAAGGCCGTCTTTGAGGAGCAGGTGGGCTACAGCTTTCTGTTTCGCAATGCGCCCATCATGTACGAGACAATCGATAATTGTCTCACATATACGCCACTGATTGTCGGCGGGCAGCCCGCCGATCCCAAGGAGTTTCCCCATATGGCGCGCCTGGGACACCGCCATCAGAAGCTGGGCACGATTGATTGGTTTTGCGGCGGCACACTCATCAGTAATAAATTGGTGCTGACCGCCGCCCATTGCCTTGAGTCGGAACAGTAAGTAATTGTGGACATAGAGTGCGTTATTCACATAGAACTTACTTTGCTCAGGGGCGAGGTAAATGTGGTTCGCTTGGGCGATCTGGATTTGGATAATGATCACGAGGATGCGTCGCCCAAGAACTACGCTGTGGCTGACTACTTTCGCCATCCTCAGTTTACGAGCTCGGACCTATACAATGATATTGGAATTATTAAACTGGCAGAGCCTGTTCAATTCGATAGATACAAGCATCCTGCATGCCTGCCCTTCGAGAATGGCGAAAACTTGGACTCCTTTATAGCTGTGGGTTGGGGCAGCACTAGCTTAGCGGGCAAATCATCGCGCAAACTGCTAAAAGTAAAATTGGATCGTATTGCAGATGAGGTAAGATTAACTGTTGTGTGCTTGTATTGGAAATAATACCTCTATGTATCCAGATATGTCGCAGAGTCATTGAACGTAGCGAGGACTATCCACACGGATTCGAGCCGGTTAGCCAAATGTGCGTGGGCTCTTCAAAGGCAATGGACACCTGTAATGGCGACTCAGGTGGACCAATTCTTGTGTACCACAAGGAATATCCTTGTATGTACCACGTGATGGGTATTACATCGGCAGGCATATCCTGCGGTACACCTAAGATTCCCAGTATTTATACGCGTGTACATTACTATTTAGATTGGATTAGGCAAATTATGGCTAATAACTAGCATTTACTTAATGTAACATGCAAAAAGTAGCATACGTTTGCGCGATTTAAATTCGCCTTGTTTTTATTTTTAACGATCTGGCAAGGCTGTTCTTAGTGATGAACCGAGCACTAATTCTTAAGAAACACAGTCACACCAATGTTGTGAAATGGATAATTAAAAACATTAATTAAAGTTTATGTGATTTCGTCATTGTATAAATAAGTTTTTATTAAATATAAATTGCGCTAGTATTTATCACAGTTGAGGCACTGAAGTTTTGGTACTTGTAATGTGTCAGCGTGATTCGCTACTATAGAGTACCAGTGACAACACCAAATATCGCCCATCACTATTGTTGTTTACAAAAAAAAAAAAAAAAAAAAAAAAGAACAACATTAATTACAGTTGTGGAAAAATAACAAGTATAACACGCGCCAAGAGGTCGATAAAACTGCCACACATAAAATGTAACCGATTAACTAAATATCAAATAAAACTAATGTGCTGCTATCCAAAACAGCGCTGCAACTGCGCTGCGCGTTAATTCCTTTCCCTTTTTAACGTGCGTTTGCGACGCACATTCATACACATGTATGTAGAATTGAGTCCAAAATCTAATAGCTTAGGTATGAACATGGAGCCCGACGAGCTGCAGCCAGTTATGTCCGATCCGGTCCAGTCATATAAGACGCGAGCCAAAATGAATCCGGCTAAGAAAGATAATGAGAAACGGCGACGAAAGGATGCCATGCGAAAGGTAATTAACGAACATGTGCGGGTGTATGTCTGTGTGTGTGTGTGTGCGTCGTTTGTGACTTGCATGTGAATATTTATATATACATACATACATATGTATAAGTATGAATGTACGTACTATAAGAGCATGCATTATTGATTGGCACTAATATAAATAAAACTGGTGCAGGTCTCGCTGATTTTACGCAAATGCGAC